CGCTTGAGCGCACCGTTATCAGTTGTAGAAGTTGTGGTTGTATCAATAATAGACCACTAGATGGCGCGATTGAAGAATCAGAGGTGTATTGCAGGGAGCCAGCTAGAAATATAAATGAACGATGCATTGTTCTGCTCTAAGCATGAAAGTTACAAGTTTGTGAAAGGACTTGAAAATATTTTTCTCAACAAAAGGGGGGCCCAGCAGAAAAAGTTTGGGAACCACTGGCCTACTCAAACACACAATAATTAATTTAATTTGAGCCGAAGTGCCATTCACTCAGATTGCATTTAAAAACACAAGAGACGCAGTGAAAAAGGAATAAACCTCCACAAATTCGCGACGTGTTTTATAAAAGTTTAAACTGTTTTAACTTTGCGTGGCTACATCTCTTGTGTGAGACGTGAGTGCAGCAGTCGTATTTGTCCATCTAAAAATGCGCAGAATATGCGTTCTGTGTGAATGGCTTGGTTTCGTTTTTAACCCATTCAAGATCTCCCTGACGCACTCCTAACATTTGATTGTACTATTTTTGCATTCATATATACTCCTGTGAAATAGAAAAGTTATGGCTGTATAATTTCATGTTCCTAGTTACCCTGGTGTGCAAAAAAAATTTGAAAAATTAATGGAAATATAATTTGGAGATATTTTAGTCATAAGAATTTCTAAGGGTACCAATAATTGTGGCCATTGTGTATTAGAGAAAATTATTTATAAACATCAATTGGATAAACAATGCAGATTTATTTTCACAGCCTTGATCATATTTACCAAGTACCAACAATTCTGACCACAACTGTATACATATAAATAAGGCAAGACGTCAGATTTTGGTGTCTATCAAATTACATTTATAAAAGTTATTTTATATACATAGAAAGCATATTAAATGCCAGTAAAGTGTCTGCTTTAATGTTGATTTTAAAATGTCAAATGTCATTTAAAAAAATAAAATGTCAAAATATAGGTGAAATAATGTTCCATCATCATTCAGTGTAACAGATATATTTATTATATTAAGCTATATCGTATTATATATCAAAGTGAGGTGAAGAAGCATTGTGCATGTTTCACTTTTTTCTTTTTTCTTTTTTTTTTTATTTAAGAAGAGTTCAGTGCGCCTAAACAGAAAGAGGAAGAATGGGAAAAGTAATTGACAGATGAGAAAAACAAATACAGAGACATGGGAAAAATTGGTGAGTACACACTAAACACTTGAGGAGATGCCTCTACTTACACTAAGACCAGTGGTCAAATTCATTAGAAAATATGTTGTCAAATTCTATGAAAAGATCCTCAGTGCACAAATTGTGTGTTCCTTCTCATACACTAAATGATCCCAAAGGTACTGTTGGACAAATTCATTCTTCAGTCCCAGAACAAGGAGAGCCTCCTTTGAAAAAACACAGAGCTCAGAGGTAATCTTTAATAAATGTAATATTAGAGCAGACAGACAGAAATAAATCAGTGTTTGTGTTTCATGTGATACACTAACAAAAATTCACTGTCTCTTTTGGACAGACCAAACGAACTAGGGGAAGAGTCTGCAAATGGAGATAAGATGCAGCAACCACCAAAAGCAAACTCCACAAGCATATCAGACCATGAAGGTATTTGTTGACTGACTGTAGTGTACAGCACTCTGTGTTTGTCTCTTTAGCCTCAGGCAAACTACACATCTACTGAGAAAATGTCACACTCTATGTTTACTTTTGAATTACTGAACTACAGTGCTGTCAACTGTAGATCTGCAAACTTTAACTTATTGTGTACCTACACCCTGCAGAGGATGATAACGGCACTGCACAGCTTGAAGAAGACAGTGTGGATCAGAACAAAGCAGCAGAGGTGCAGTATACCAGCATCAGTATCATATTTTTTACAGTTACATATCTTTACCTATGGACTTTCCCAATAACATCAGTACATCAGTTTTAAATAATAATTTGACACTTAATACATTCCAGTGACCCTCAGAAAAATGTAACATATATCAATACATGTTTAATTGTGCTGTTTAAGCTTTTGGGGGTCAGTAAGATTTTTTTAAAGGGGTGGTTGATTGCGATTTCACTTTTTTAATGTTAGTTATTGAAAGAAGCTTTTATCCTCACCAAGGCTGCATTTATTTGATTAAAATACAGTAAAAAAAAAATTCTGTTATGCCAAAGCTGAATTTTCAGCAGCCATTACTCTAGTCTTAAAAGGGTCATGAACAGAGAAATCAAAATTCCCTTGATCTTTTGACATATAAGAGGTCATCGTACTATAAAAACATCAAAATCATCAAAAGTTTCAGAACTCAAAAGGGCTTTTCACACTTGAATTTGTTAACCCTGGGTCATCCATCCTAAACCCCGGATAAACGGAATCCTGGGTTATCTGTAATCACATTTCACACTGCTCATACCAGAGATCGTCTTACTAGGGGTTAACTGTTAATCCTGGGTATTCAGTAACAGACATTTCACACTGTACATTCCTAAACCCCGGGTTAAAGTTCTTATTTGCATATTTGCGGTGTCACTCTCACTGATTAGACAAACAGCAGGCAACCTGTTTACACGGCTTTTCCCGCGTCTTGCCAGTTATTAAAGGGGTCATATGATGCTATTTTAAAGATCATTATTTTGTGTATTTGGTGTAACAGAATATGTTGACATGCTTTAATGTTCAAAAAACACATTATTTTTCAAATACTGTACATTATTGTAGGTCCTCTATGCCCCGCCTCTCTCAAAC